ACCTAGCGCGATGCTGTGCCCGCATCTCCGGGCCAGGCAACCCCCCAGCAGATGGGCACCGGCTGGCCCGCATGAAGGCCGTGCCCGCCGAAGTTCGATAGAACTTTTCCCTCCGGCTCACCCTTGGGGACCCTGCCGGAGAGTTTTGTGGCACAGTAAGAAATCAGCTTTGTGCCGGTACAGGTTACCTGGAACCGCTGGCATCTGCGGAACAGCAAATGTGTTGCTTGTTCTCTTGAGATTTTTGCAGTGACTCTCTGTAAGTTCAAAATCTAAGTAGAGATGCTTTCCTCTTACCCTGCTGTGTCTTACCACGGGGATCCTTTTCGCCGCTGCTGCTGTTGGAAGCCCCGTCGAGTACCTCATAAATAACAAATGCATTTAGGGGAAGAGATCATTTCGGGGGATTCGAAACCTGTTGAGTGTGTGCAGTAATATTGCGGCCGATTGTGAGCAAAACACAGTGGAGATACATGGCTTGTAAAACATCTTAGAAAGTCACCCCTGGGCTGGATGAACTGGCTTTGCATCATGAAGTAGTAGGACGCTCAAAGTGCTTTGGGACATGCAAATTTACAGTTAGATTAGTTTTTAAAGTGAGATCTCTCCAAGCAGCATGGGTATACGTGGGCTTACCAAAAAGTTGTTTTCTGACAGAGGCTTTTACCAGCCACAAGCTTCCCCAGTAAGATATTGCAAAAAAAAAAAAAGGTGTATTCCAGGAATGAGCTGGAGGGTTAAGTTAAGGAAAGTCCTTAGCTGTTTTCTGATAGAGACATAGATGTACAAGGTGATGGTTACAATTTTTATACCCCTTGTTGTAGAATGTTAAAGTAGCTTCAAAACTGGACTAGTAGAAATCCTGCCCTGTGTGACGGGCGCAGCAGGTGTTGTGGGTGCCGTAGGCTGCGGATGGAGCAACCCTGCGCTGCTGATGTCTTTACGCTGCTGTGAAAGCCCTAATGTGTGCAGGAGCATGTATCAGATAACCGAGCTCTGATAGTATGTGGCTCTTTAATTCTCTCTTCACTGAAGCAGGTGTTTAAAGTAGAGCTTTTCTCATAAGTACTGTTCTGGGAAATACACTGCATGGAGAGGATGGAATGTGTAGCTGCTAGAGGAAACCGCTATGTGGGGAAAGATGCTTTTCTTTTTTAATCAGTGTAACTTTTGTGTGTGTGCGTGCATGTGTTTGGCTTTTCTGATGTTGAAAGTGTAGCAACATGCTTAGAGCAGGAAAAGACTAGTGTTTGCCCTTGTCCGTGCGGAGCTGTGGGAATGTGACTGATGGCTAAAGCCAGCAGTGCTCTTCAGACTGTGCTGACAGTTGAGGAAGAGAGGCTTACTTTCAGCCTGGGCTTAAATACTTTGCTGAGCTGAGACCTTTGGTCTTGCATCATTCTCTAACTTGCAAATGAGCAGCCCTCTGCCTCATTTCTTTCCTGCCTTTGCACCCTATGGGGTCCCTCCCTCCATGCCACCTCTTTGTCCTCTGGCTGTTGCTGCTGCTGTGACATGCAGCAAGTGGAGCCCTTTAACTTATGCCTTTCTGACTTTAAAGACTGGCTGCAGGACTCTTCTACCATGTTCCATCGGGCCTGAGGGGTGGTCCTACTGCCCACAGCATCTTTCAGGTTGTCAGAGTATTTTAAAAGTCATGTATCATGTGACGGATGCACCATGTGCCTTAGCTCTCTGTATGAGGTCTTAATTTCTCCCGGGAGCAGCTTGGAGGTCCCTGCAGTGGGGTAGCAGGACCTGTGGGTGATAGGGCACTGTCCAGAGCACTTTCTAGAAATATTTTTGGTTAGTTGGTTGGTTTTCTCAGCAGATTTAAGACCTCCTGTGTCGCACTTAACCATGACACTATATTGGACTCTGTCCCTGCACCTTCTCTGTTTCCAGAGGTCACTGCCGGTGGTGTGGCCCCTCCTGAGTGGATAGGCTTCCTTGAGCTGCCTGAGTGAGAGTGGGCTTTCAGACAGATACAGGATACCTGCTTCAACCCCCCGCCTCCAGGACTGGGAAAGAAGCTGCCCCATGGGGACCTGAGGCAGAGTCTGGCCCCTGGGTTACGTTGCTGCTGTCTGGGGCTTCTTCGCTGAGTTCCCGGGGGGGCCTGGGAGACAGGAGCACACTCATCCATGTGCCCGTACCAGCCATTGGCTGTCCCTGGAGCCACTTCAAAAGACTCAAGTCTCAGAGCTACAGCAAAATTGTGATGAAAAATAGGATGATAAAAGTTAACTGCTTGGCTTTTAAAGGATTTTGTTACTAGTTCATGCTCCATTGGTGGCTCGGTTAGCCAAGCTGCAGACTCGATGCTGTGGGCTCACGTTTACCAAAAAGGTCTCAAACCCAGGACTGTGCTTAAATGTGTTTTACATAAGTACATAGTCCAAGGGATGTGTATAGCAAAGGCAGAGCTTGCTCCTATAACTGGAATTAAACTTTTAGTTATTTGCAGGATGAGTCAATAATTCTAGTCAATAAATTCAGAATATTAGTATTAGAATTACTGTGGTCTGTGTGTATTGTACTGCAGGGAGAACATGTTGTATGTGTTTGCACGTACACGTTTGTGTACACGATAGTAAGGTACAAATGCAGATTAAATTCACATAATTTACGTTTTTTGAAGATTGGTAGATAGCTTATTTGCTTCAAAATCTTGAAATACGTAATCTTTGCTTTCCTATTAAAAGCCACATCCAAATAGTTAATATTACTTCCCTTACATTCCTTTAGAGGCTTACAAAATATGATTTAATGTATTTTAAAGTAAGTTTTTTTCCTCCACTCTTTTTTTCTAATTCCTTTTGCTGAAGGACTTTTACGGGTGTTGTGGGGATCTCTTTGATTCCATCTGCAGAGTACAGTTTTATGATAGATGTGAATTACAAAAGCAAAGCAAGGAAGAATTGGGAGGGCAGTAATGAAACATTTCAAAAGGAACCCTCTCACCTATACTGAAATTAGGAACAGTGAGACAAATTTGTTCCTGATGTGCATCTGGAAAAGATTTGATCCAAATTTTATTGCAAGAATTTTTTCTTCTTCTTCTTTTCCTTCATGCTAATATACTTTGCAATGGTCATGAATTACATCTTGCTCTGTTGCTCTGGAAATTATTATAATACTCTGCTATAATCAGTAGGACAGAGTTATGGTATAACTCTCTTGAAGCATGGGGAGGTATCGAACGTGACTCACCCAGCAGTGCATCTGGAGCTTTATGCGTGTGATGGCATCCAACCAGAAAAGCGATGGGAGAAGATTCATTGTGTGCGAAAAGATTTGGCTTGTTTGCCCTTTTCATTTCTTACAATAGCAAACACTTCTACTCAGAAAAGCTGAATGTGGTTTTGATTCCATTTTATTGTTGGGATTAAAACATTCATGTACATTATTGTAGCTTTTGAGTGCTGCCATGCATGACGGCGTTCTTGGAAAAGCATGTGTACTTAGTTTCAAATCATTGTCCCAACAGGATATCTTACAACTTTGCTGTAGGATATAGCCCCAAAGTGTGTGCTGGTACAATACTTTGCTGCTCCCTCTGGTACCAGTAGCTTCATACCCATAGTCTTGTGAACCTGCATAAAAGTTTATAGTATAATGTGCTCCTTATGGGAGGTGTCTCCCAGTTGCTGAAGACCTTGCCTGAGCTTCTGCTTTTCCTTTGCAGAGGGAAGGGGTGGCAAGGGGAGTAGTTCCCCCAGCCCAGCAGGTTGGGGAAGGGACCTCTCAACCACAGTTGTCACAGTGTGAATTATGGTGCCCACGTGGAGCGTGCTTGAGGGCTTTTAGGTCCCGTTGTAGCAGTGGAGGACCCCCAGCTTAGCTCTTGGTCCATGATAAATGAGGTTCTGTGGCATTTTGTCATGTAACCACCTTTTATTTTTATGCTCAAAAAGTGGCACTTGCTTTTCCCATTTCTGAATATTAAGCGTCCCGTCAAAGGTCATTGCCTAGGCTGATTGAATAGTCGCTGGAAGAAAGTCATGTTTTGGAGGCTTTCATACCACTGTGCCTAGACAGCTGCAGGCAGCAAATTCAAGACCAGATACCTAAATTTTAGATAATTGAAGTGTAGGCGAGATGAATCTATGCTGTTCAGTGGAATGGAAATTAAAGTGGTAATGTTGTTGTATCACCTTCATTCTTCATCTTCAGATTATGTCCTCATAGAAATAACAGCTGAGGCTTATGGTTGTAGTTAAGTCTACGAGTACAAGCAATTGAAGAAATTTGAAGTCAGAACTTATCACACGTTGCAGGGGCAAAAAAACTTAGATTGCACAGGCTCCATTTAATTATTTTCAGAGGAGCCAAGGTAGAAGGAAGCCTCTTTGTTGAATACCTGTCTTCTGACAGCCTTTTGGGAAATCGACTTTGTTTGGCATCTCTGTTGTAGTGTTTGTTGCAACACTGGGAGGACAGCTGAGGTTACTGTCTCTGGCAGCATTCATGCTTAACAGCCTGTTAACCTGAAGTTCCTGAACTGCTTCTTATCTGTGTTTTTCATTTTCCTCCACCAGTTGTAATCATGTGTGCAAGCGGTGACACAATCAGGAACATCATGTTGGCTGCTCATCGGCAAGGAATGACCAATGGGGACTACGCGTTCTTCAATATTGAACTTTTCAACAGCTCGTCATATGGTAATGTTTTTTCTGGCCAAGTATGTTGCAAACTCTTCTGTAAGCCTGGTGGTATTTTTAGATCAGCCTCAGAATACACAGCACTGAGTTCCAGAGTACACCACTGTCTCTCCCCATTGTTACATTTATCTTCCAGTTGGACTACTGGTGTTTGATCAGCAACTATATCTGAAAAAGTACTTAGCAGTGTTATGCTGAAGGGAGAGCACTGGATTAGATGCAGGCAGTCCAAATTTACTAGAGTAGGGTGGGTAAAAGTAGCTGATTCTACCTATAAGTAAAAGGGATCAGATTTGTCAAACTAAAGCATGATTTCAAAATGTAAATGAAATAAGTTTGCTTTTTGAAATATACCTATATTCAGGTACATTTGACATGGCAGTGCATGGCAGGAGCTACACCTGCTCTCAGATGCTACATCTGTCTCAGTTAAATTCGGAGTAATACTGGAGCAACATATGTTCTTAGATTTAAACAATATCAGATGGGTGAAGCTGAGGCAAGTTCGTGCCTTGGAACTAAATTTTGTTGAAGCATCAGCATGGCTTTTGAAAGGAACAGCTGCTTTTGCAGGTGCAGAGATGATTTCCCCTCTGCAGGCTGCCTTAACTAGTCCACTACAATAATGAATTCATTTCAAATTCAAAACCAACCTGGAGCTGAGAAAGAAGGAAGACTTGTTTTCTTTCCTGCAAGCATCACAAATCTGACAAACAGGAACAATTGAATTCACAAAAGGATGATGTGTTTTGTTTAGTAGATCAGCTAATTTTTAAGTTATTTGTTATCTCTCTACCACTTCTGACATTATTTCATAGTGAACAGTGCTATATGTTGAAAAGCTCTGTTAATTCAGAGATATGGATACTGAAGTACAGCTACTGCTATGTGTATCATCTAGGTTAGCTAAAGAAATGCGAAGTTTTGCCAGGTAGTAAGGAAATCAAATAAAGTTGCAGAACAAGATCAAAGTCAGTGGTTCAAATCAAGTTTTTGTTTTTGTTGAATTGAGTTTGGAGTGGTTTTATCCCTTAGGGCATAAGCTATTGCAGCCTCAAATCAGGACCAGAGCAAAAAGCTGAAGGTCTACCCATATCAGCAGTCACAAAACACTGAAGTTTTAGCCCTGCTGTAGTCCCCAGGAGCTTTGCAGGCTTGCCTTTACTGGAAACCACTTACCAAACAACCATTCTGGATGCCAGCAGTGGCTTGTTACTGCTGTGCTACTGCTGCATTTTGTCTCACAGAGTAGAGATGCGTGAGAAGGGATTCATCTGGCCACAGGTTCAACTGTGTGAGTGAGCTGGAATCCTTCTGGAGTCGCAGGAGAGAAGTAGGTGCCCCTGGACAGCGATTAATCTCATCCTTAGGCATCCACCGTAGCTCAAGTGTATCATCCCCTGCAGCTGGCGATTTCCTTGCCCCGGCAGAAATGAACTCAGGGTGACTACTTGGGAAGTGCAGAACCTGACTGGGACAGATGGTATACCCAAAGTTCCCCTTAAGCAGGGAATGCGCATCTAAGAGCAGCAGCTGCAGGAGCTGGGCTGCTGCATTTTGGAATGGTTTTGCTTTCCAGCATGACATTTATGTAGGAGGTAGTGGCAGTTGAGGGAGGCAGTGTTGTCATCCCTAGGCTCAGCACCCTGCCCGAGGAGAGACCCTGGCATCACAGCTGATGTGGGGTGTCTTCGTGTGTTTTTTCCAAGAGATTAATTAAAACTGTCTCTCTTCTGGTGTAGTGGCATTTCTTGACGTTTCTAAGTAGTAATTCTTCTAAACCAATTTTTCTGTTTCTTTGTGGATGTGTTTCCCTTGAAGAGTGAAATGATTGTGCATCAGAAGTTAACTTCCCTGCAGATGATCATCACATGTAGAAAGCAGACATAAAAATGTAGAGAAATTAATCCAAAATTCCTTGTTCCCAGTGCCTGGAGGTACTAGATTACTAAGAGTGGATGTGATTGGCAAACTGGCACTTTGCCTTTAAGTTCAGATGACCATATTGCAGTTTGTTGTTGCCCTCTGTTCTGAATATTTTTAAATTTTCAGAAGAGTAGGCGTATTAAATGCCAAGGCTGCAATAATTGCACATAAGTACTGTGGCAAGATGACCTCCTGCAAAATAATCCATGAAGGAGTTTAAATATGTAAATTATTCTAGGAACGCTGTTATGCAAGTGTAACTTCCGTGCTCCCAGTGTGAGGATTTAAAAAAAAAAAATATATGTAGTGTTCAGGACAGAAACTTAACTCACATTCTACCAGCACTATTTTTGGGGAGGTCTGTAATCCTACTCATTTTACCCATCTCCATTTGTAAATGCAAAGCCATAGCAAAGCCCTTTGTTATACTTGTTGAATATTGCACCTCTGAAATGCAGGTACTCAGCTGAGGGAGAGGCTTTTTGTCTTCAAACCTCCAGCAGGGCTTGTACTCTCTTGTGGGGAAGCTAGCAAGACACATCAGCTTACAGTTGCCAGGTGTGCATTTCTTTCTTTTTGAAAGCAGTAACAAGGACAGGGCACAGGCACAGAATGGAAGAGTGCTACATCTGAGGGCAAAACAAGATGGTGAGATGTTATTTGCTCTCCAGTGTTACCGTCAGGTCTGATGAATAGGGTACTGATGTAAACTTTGTATTGGGAAGGAAATACCTAAACCTAGGTAGATGTATCTAGAGAATACAATTACCTTTAAAAAAAAAAAAGGGAAAGAAATTAAGAATTTGCAAGGTTCATGGTATTTATAATGTTTATGGTCCTAGCTGGTGCTAAGTAGTGGTAAATAAGGATTTCCTGGAGTGAAAAAGAGAGGTAAAAGAGCTCAGGTGGTTCTGTGCAAGTGACAGGAACTGCCCTGGAGGCAAAAGCAGCAGGAAGAAAGACTCGTTCTCTGGAGAACTGTAGAATCAACAGCTCTTGAGCCCCCAACACGAGAAGAGTGTGGACCTATTGGAGCAGGTCCAGAGGAGGCCCCAAAGATGATCAGAAGGCTGGAGCACCCCTCATAATGAGGACAGGCTGAGAGTTGTGGCTGTTCAGCCTGGAGAAGAGAAGGCTTTGGGGAGAGCTTGTAGCGGCCTCCCCGTGCCTGAAGGGGCTACAGGAAAGAGGGACTCTTTATCAGAGAGGGTAGTGATAGGACAAGGGGCAGTGGTTTGGAAATAGAGCACGTTAGATTTAGGTTAGACATTAAGCAGAAAGACTTCACTGTGAGGGTGTTGAGACCCTGGCACAGGTTGCCCAGAGAAGCTGTGGAAGCCCCTCCCTGGAAGTGTCCAAAGCCAGGCTGGACGGGGCTGTGAGCAACCTGGTCTGGTGGGTGGTGTCCCTGCCCATGGCAGAGGGGTTGGAACCAGATGATCTTTAAGGTCCATTCCCTCTCAAACCATTCTGTGATTCTAGGAATTGTAGGTCCCTACTTCCTTTCCCTGTGCTCTCTGAGGAGACAGAGCAATTCTCCAAGGTGAAAAAAAAGTCACAGCAACAGCGCTGGGATACTGGGAGGACAATACACAGGCTCTGTGTTCACCTGCTTTGATGAGACTGAAGTGATCTATCCCTGAGTTTGTTCTTGCAGACATAAAAGGAAGCTAGTATTTCTCTGCAAGGAGCACCATAGATTTGATGCCTGGAGTTCATCTCTGTTAGCATCTCCACTCCCAAACTGCTTGCTTCTCTTTTCCAAATGAGACCACGTTCCTCAGCCCAATGAAAGCAGCCACAACCTCTCTCACCTAGGTCACCCTTGGAAACTTAGCATTTATCTTCTTCTTCCATAATTTACCCATGATTTGGTTTGTTATTGTTGCTTAAGAAATAAAATGATTGTCTAGCTTTTATGTATTTTTAGTATTTGAAGGCATACTGTAGGTATGTGGTAGCCATAGGGCTACCACAGTTCCCTGCAGTCCTCTTCTATTTATCATTTGTGTAGAATAGTACAAAACGCGGTCCAGAGTAATGTGAACTTTTCCACTGATCTCCTGAAGCTTTGGGTCAGGGTTTCAGGAGCTGCTAAGGTCAGGCCCTCTTAGGTAGAAGGACAACTTTGCAAATTAACAACCTGCTATCATGTTGGTTTTTTTAAAGCTGATTACTTTATTGATGGTCTGAGTTAAATTGTTGCCCTACTGTGACATAGAACACATGTAAATACAGCATAGATGCAGGATCTCATTTTATTTTTAAGTGTTTCTTTTCCACTAAGAGCAGGGCTGGTGTGGCAGCCACTGCACACAAGGTTTTTCTCCTTGACCTCAGTGGGAGAGCTGTGGGAGAAGTAGCTGCACCATCTGCCTCCTGTTTGGGGTGATGATCATACTACTGACTTTACTGGTGCCTTTCTGACTGTTCAAGAGTGTCACTGGTCAAGTGATGTGTAACAAAACTTTGTGGTTATATCCTCCTTCACTTGTTCTAACATAAATATCTCTGTGTTTGAGATCTGGCGCATGTTTTTTTACTCCGTGATGCCTTCTCATGCTTAGGCTTCATCTACCCTTTAAAAATAAGGAAGCGCAGCATGGGAGTAAAGTTGTTCTTCCATTTGCACATTTACTTCCCACCAGCTGTTCCTCACTGCCTGGTTTCCTGCACATCTTGAAGCAGGTTCAATTCTCCCTCGTACTCTGCTGTCTCGCCAAGGTGCAGGGTAAGGGACTTATGGGTGGAAAAAGGAAGACAATCCTGTAATGGTACCTAATTTGGAGTTGGAAATTTGCTTGTTTTTCACCTTAGGAAATGGTTCGTGGAGAAGAGGAGACAAACATGACCTTGAAGCCAAGAAGGCATACTCATACCTCCAGACAGTGACTCTGCTGAGGACCGTGAAGCCTGAGTTTGAGAAGTTTTCCCTGGAGGTGAAAAGTTCTGTTCAGAAGCAAGGTCTGCATGAAGATGACTACGTAAGTATTTGGTGACAGGCTTTAGGTCTTAGCATCTTCAAAAGCATGCTCCTAATTAAAGCAAAATTAGCAGTGAGACCTTATTAGGACAGAATCACCTGGATTCAATTGTGAGATCCCACTATTGACTGTATAATCTCTTTTCTTTTTTCTTCTTTTGTGTATGGGTAATGCAAATAACAAAAATAGACTTGGTCTAGATGCACTAGGTCTGTGCACCACAGTCCATGACCAGTTGTCCTGTGCTTCTACCCTCGTTCATTAACAGGAAGGTTGGAAAAAGGCAAATTGGCAGTTACCTCTCCCTCTCCCACCAATCACTTATCTTTTTTTTTAACAGACAAAGAGCTTCGTTTTTCTCTTTTGTTTTCTCCCAATAATTTTCATTTTTGGTAGAATCAGATCTCAGAAACTTGCACTCTTTCTTGCATCTGATGATGTTTTACTTGATGTGAACGAGAAAAGTGGTCTTATTTCCCAGTTTAGACTGTGGCTGTTGTTTATTTTAAAACTGAAATACCAATACACTCCTTGTGAGTTGTTTTAAGCCTAGGGGAGTGCTGCTGTCCTCCAGAAATGGATGTGCCAAAATATGTCAGGCTTTTGATCTCTCCAAATGTAGGAGGAGATGACTCTGAAAATTGCTTTTGAGCCACTCCTAAGCTAGTTCGTTAGGCATTTTCATAGAAAAGTCTTACGTGAAACCAAGAATGAACACCACATACTTATAGAGATTTCTGCGTGCTGTTACAAGTACTTCCCAAGCAGTTAGCCTTTTCCATGATTGAAAGTAAACTGCCCATCTACGCTAATAAAGAAAAGAGGCTTGAGAGCTTGGTCAGTCTTTAGCTGTAGGAAAGGAGGGCTAGGAATTTATGCCTGTAACTCAGAAAAGCAACCCAAACCCCCTCATTTGCCAGCTCCTATTTGAGCACCTACTTCATCTCTTTGCTTTAAGCGTTCTGTCACTTACAGGTGAAGGCATCATCTTTAATTCAAAGCACAAGCTGATGAATTTGAGTGTTGTGTTAATAAATGACCTTTCCTGCAGTTTATCTCATATCTTCATCTGTCTTCAGAAAACTTATACTTCTTAGAATTTGAATGTATTTTGTTTAAATATCTTGCTTAAAATGTTAAGTTTGAATCATAGCATTATATTTCTCCTGTGAAACTTTCAAAGTCTAGGCAGGCAGAAATAGTCTTTTTGCCTTGGGTCAAGAGGAGAAAACCCAACTGCTGAGTTCAAGGTGCTGCTCTCTGAAGAACCTAATAAAAGTGTTTGGAAGAAGGGACTGAAATTTATGCTGTTTTTCTCTTTCCCCTCTGTATGCCCTTTTGCAGGTGTCATTTAGCAAGCTATGTGCTTTGAAACTCTGCCATGTGCTCTTGTTTGTGGTTGGTGAGAAGTGTGATTTTGAATATTAATCATTCAGTCGTCCGTAGTTTTGTGGCTTTTGTAATCTGGGCACTGCGACATTTCCCCAGATGAGAAAAGTATTAAACTGCCGAGAGCTCAGGATGGTGTCCGTGGGTGGTTTGGAGGCAGGCAAGGGGATGCTTTGCTGTTCTTTAGGGTCAAGAATCACTGTAGACCCTATTCAGGTTCACTGTTGACAGCTGCTGGATAGATGTTACAGTCAAACAGAAGTGGATCCATGAGAGAGCAAATCCCCCTGTGCCAGCAGGGGGTAGGTTTTCCGGGCTGATGTGTTTGTTGAGGAGACACCTTGCACAGCTGCATGCCCACTGCCAGAAGTCCTATTTTCTCTTGCTTTGCTCCATGGTTGCTTGTGTGATCAGCCGTCGGTGCTGGCAGTCCTCCTGGCTGTCCCAGGGCGGCTGCGCAGGTGCCTGGCTCCCAACTGTCTTCTCCTTGACCTTCTGCCTGGCTCTGAGGGCTGCTGCTCCCTATATCACATTCCCACCTGTGACCCGGAGTTTTTCATCTTGCTCCAAGCACTCCCTGACTCAATGTCAGCCTGTCCTAGGGCCAGATAGTGGCACAGGACCTCTCCTGCTGCTGCTTCTCCTACTTCTCTTCCCACTCTTCTTTTTCCACCTGGCTTTCTATGCCGTTCCCAATCTCTTATTGTCGAGGCAGAGGGAGGACTTGTGGGCTGTGTACACCTACCACAGCTTCCTGCAGCCTGAAAAATCAACGTTTGACTCAACAGGAAGCTTGTGGTGGAGGGCATGGGGATCTGAGTCTCCTTGTGGGTGAGCTGAAGGTCAGTGCTACCAGAGAAGGAGGTTTGGTTTCAAATGCAGAATGTCTTGATACTACATGGATGCTTGACTTATGTAGATCCCAGCAGAGCATCTCCTATGAGTTTTTTTCACAGCCTCCCTACCCAATGGGAAGATAAAACTTATTTAAGAGGCATAGCCTTGGGTTGAGCAAAAAGCATTATCTGTGTTACTTCATTAACAGTGTGTGAATTTTAACTGTCTGGTGTTTCCATCATTTGTGGTGAATTTTACATTTCACCACTTTAGACAGTGGAAAGAGATGCTTCATATTCCCTTAACTGATTGTCCTGCTGCCGTGTTCAGAGGAGAAACGTTTTGGGGCAGCCTTCAGTCTGAAGAAAAAAATCCATTTTAAAAACCAAAGGGGAAAAATAAACAGCCAAACAGCCAGTTCCTTCCTCTCTGAAAGAACTGTGGCTAGTGGGCACCCCGTCAGCGGTACTTCTTTTGGCAGTGTAGGAAGTGGCAGTTTTGGCCTGGGTGCATGCTAAGCAAGGCTTTATCCTCCAAGAGAAGCCTTAGAGGGAGAAGTCCTTCAGCTGAGTGGGTGGGCAGGGACGGAGATGGATTTTTCTCTGCTGGATTCTGCTCATGAAAACAAAAACTCCGGGAAAAGGTAGTTGTCCTACAGTCCATCTCAAGTCCTGTCGACGGGTGTTGAAATGTAATCCTCATCATTGCTTGCAAACTGTGTCCCCAGAGAATGAACTAAGGGAGATCTGGATTTGAAGCATTCGGTATTTTTGCTTCTCTGTGTGGGTTTTTTCAGTGTCATGGGAAAATGGGGCCCCAGGTCTGTGGTGTAAATTATCTTGCAGTGACCCTAGCTCAAACAAAAGTCATTAGCATTGCCATTTTGTCCTGGCCTCTTGCCAGCACTAATCGTAAAGGCATTATTATCTACCAAAAAAGAGTATCGTAAAAATGGCAAATAAGCACATGACAGAACGAAAAATAAGTGGGACAGAAAGGGCAAAGTCCTAAAGCAGCAGCTGTCCAGTTGCCAAATGGAGAGCACATATGGCCCTTGTGAGAGTAACAAGTCAAAGACTGTTGACCATCTTCATCTCCAGCTGTGAAGTTACACAGAAAAGAGAAATACATGTTCTAGGTATGTCTTTCGCAGGTCAGAAATTGCTGTTGTTTCTGCATGAGTGTTATGCTGTGGAAATGAGGAAGGTGGAAGAATCTGTGCCTTGTGAGTGAGCAGGAAAGCATGGAAAAAGCTATTTCTTAGAGTCTCCAAAGAATCTCTGCTGTGAAGGAAAAATCACCCTTAAGCACTTTTTAACTAGAATAGCATTGAAAGTAAGAGCAACAGAGAAGTTCTGATTGTTTGGGTAGTTGCAGAGAAGTGGGCTAAAAATTAAGATATTCCCTGTCTGCAATGCCCCATTGCAACATCTTGTTGCAACAGCTGTCTGAGTCCGTTAGCAAATACTCTTAGTTTGCATGGTCACTGCTTTGAGAGTCTGAAAGCCGGGACTGTCATGTTAACGTAACCCAAAGGACTGTGGGCTGAAGCATCAAATCTGCTCAGCTCTCGTTTCAGAATTCAGTAGTGTCATGACTTTTTTCCAAGATACATCCTGTATTTCTGAAGAAAGCATGAGCATTTTACTTCGTGCCTATGTGGAGACTGACTTCTCTGATAAAGTAGCCAAAAAAAAGAGGATTTTTTTTTTCCCAAAAGGCTTCTGAAATTTAGGGTTCAAGCATAAGGGCAGTAGAATCACTTTAGTGTGATTACACGAATCGTAGCCGTTTTCTCACTTCTGTAATGTTAATGTGTTACCAAGACGTTAATAACAGTATGTCCTGGTCTCTGCAAACCAGTTGAGATCCTTGATTAAGCTCCAAAATACAGGACAAGCTCTACTTGTACACCTATAGGCTAGGTGAGGTAGACAGCGATGGGAATTACATGCATTTACATGAAGGAAGAATTTGACACTGTCTCTGAATTGGTGTATGAATAACTCCCAACTGATGCTCTAATTAAAAATGTTTATGAATAAATAGTATTTCAGTTAAAGCCATTTTTATTAAAAAATGTTGAACATTTAATGATTTGGTGGTAGACTGCAGTTTGGAAGCTCTTAATGTACCTTCTGTTCTCAACTCAGGCCTAGGATTCAATAAATGTTTTTTTAATGTCCAACTCAGTATTGTGAGCTGGGATGATTTTACAGCCTAGGGTATTTGCTCTTCTGAGGTTACAGACCACCCATGGCTTGTTTTTCCTTCTCATTTAAAAGCTGAAAACACATCTAATTAAACAAATATTTCTGCTGTGTTAACTACATGACAGCATTGTTCACGAGGTGAATGTGTGGGTTTTATCCTACCCACAGCCCTTTTCACACTGAAAATGAGCAGCAGGAGAAGGAAACTGGAGCCCAGTTTGCCTGTAAAGTTATCTCAGTGAGAGAATGAGCTATGCAGATTAATTAGATCAGCAAGATGCTACTACCTATTGGAAAGGGCAAGTCTGCTTTATTTAACATTTTCAGCCCTCTGAAATGAGAAACGATCTGCGTAAGAGCAACTATTCGAGCTCCAACAGTTAACTACAAAAGCTACGTGGGAGGTAGCTGTGCTCATAAAGTTTAACATCTCATCCATAACATCCGTGCCAGACTCTTCCCCGTGTGTATTCCTTACGTCAGCCTTTTAATTAGCATTGTACAGCAGCTAAGATAAGGGTTGAGAGAAGCAAGCAATTCAGTCGTGTAGCCGAGACACTG